TCACTTTTGGTCTCCTATCAGGAAGTGATTCCCTGAAATCTCAGCAAATTGCTAGCTATCAGTACAGCTAGTCCTTGACTTATGACCACAATTGAGCCCCCAAAATGTATGTTGTTAAGTGAGGCATTTGTTAAGTGCATTTTGCCCCATTTTATGGCTTGTCTAGTCACAGTGTGGATAAGTGAATCATTGCTGATGTTGAGTTAGTAACATGGTTGTTAAGTGAATCTGGCTTTCCCCGTGCACTTTGCTTGTCAGAAGGTCGTAAAAGGGATATTGCAACGGTCATAAATATGAGTCAGTTGCCAAGCATCTGAATTTGGATCATGTGACTAGGGATGCTGCAATGGTTGTAAGTGTGAAGAACGGTCATAAGTCGCTTTTTTCAGTGAAGTTGTAACTTTGAACGATCCCTAAATGAACTGTTGTAAGTGGAGGACAATTGTTTTATTCCCTTCTTTGTCTTTCCTGCATATAGTGAATTTGATTGGAGCAAGATTGTCACGGCCCACTTGCCGGAGTCCTACAAAAGCAACACACCCAAGGAGCAGTTGCTTCTACAGGTGGCGGATAATTTCCATCGGCAGTACGCACACCTTTGCCCGGACCGTGTACCCCTCTTCCTTCACCCAATCAATGAATGTGGCATGGAAGTAAGTCAGACAAAGAGCTCTAGAAAGGAAGCTCCAAGTTGCCCCAAGAATCTATAAAGCCTTAGTAAGACCACACCTAGAATACTGCATCCAGTTTTGGTCACCACAATATGTTGAGACTCTAGAAAAAGTGCAGAGAAGAGCAACCAGGATGATTAGGGGACCGGAGGCTAAAACATACGAAATAGCTATTCAACCAGTCGATGATGGCCAATTTTCCCCCTTGACTGAAGCACAAGCAGCTTCTTTCTTTTCTGTCCATAATTTGTCCTTATCGCTCATTTTCTTAGAGACCAATTAGAGGTGACACCAGAATTATATTTGGGAAGTATGGAAGGCACACCCATTTTGAGGGAAACCACTATCCAGTACCCACAATTCAGCTATTTTCAAAGCTGTTACTTCCAGTGATGGGTTTCCAAATTGTTTCCTACTGGTTCCATCACTCTGCTAAACAAATATTTCCCTCAACACTGTCCAACTATTTACAAAGCCTGCACTACTATAACTATTAATCTTCTCATTGCTCCCTATCACCCATCCCCTCCCACTTGTATGATTGTAGGACCATAACTTTGTCGCTTGTATCCTTACGATTTATATTGACTGCTTCCTAGTATTATTTGATTGCTTATTGTACCCTATGACTATCATTAAGTGTTGGACCTGATGATTCTTGACTCTTGACGAATGCATCTTTTCTTTTTATGTACACTGAGAGTTATTTGCACCAAGACAAATTCCATGTGTCTCCAATCACACTTGGCCAATCTATTCTATTC